TCAAAGTAAAAGTTGTTGGATTGACTTACTGGGATTGAACGTCATTGTAAGGATCCTTTAGGCGACCGAGGTTGTAGTCATGGTCCGCCGATTGAGTTCCTCAATTTGAATTTAAATATGACGGTACAAGTCAGTTGACTCGCATGGGTTAAGTTGACCGAGGCGACCAGTCGAATGACGATTGTGTCTGTCAAAGTAAAAGTTGTTGGATTGACTTACTGGGATCGAACGTCATTGTAAGGATCTTTTAGGCGACCGAGGTTGTAGTCATGGTCCGTCGATTGAGTTCCTTTTCACAGTACATTGTTTTACTTCGACTGAGTGATCAGTCCTGGAATGAACAGTTTGGATCATGCTCTTTTGTTCTGATGCCTCAATCACCTAGCCACTATCCTGGGTCGTTGGATTGCTTTGAGATTCTTGTCGGCAGTTATAATGGATATATATTAGTTCCTCGAGTTTTCCGCTCCTTGAAAGCAAAAGCTGCGATAAGAACAGAAAAAATATTTAATAATTAGCGGCGCTAAAATCAAGGACATCACTGTGATAGCTAACTTTCCTTTGGATTTTGTGCTGAGTAGACTTTATAAATAGACTCAAAAGTTTGGCATGGTATTTGTTGTCGTCATTATTCCCAGCTAACCGAGTTGCATCATGGCTAATGGTCTGAGCCAGATCACCGAGGATCCCAAGATTCTCGCCAAGGCGGGATACAAGCCCATGGTTTGTGCAAAAAAAAACAAGATTAAGAAAAGGAAACAGTTGATGCCTGAATCTTTGTTGGTTGATCAAGTCGACTTGTAGAGGGACGAATGCCGAAAATCGCATGTCAGGAGGCCGCGACACCTGAGTCTTGGATAGGTGTGGATTTCCAGTGCCTACAAACCTCGTTTACTGAAGGCGTTTAGTTGATTGAAAAACTGATAAAGGGGGAATCAATCGTCATCGCTCCTCAGCTACTTCTGCATGACAGTGGAGGTACCTCGGTTAAAGAGGGGGAGGAGCCTTTTAAGTGCCTTTCCTCTATAGATAGATTTATTGGTACGTAAAACTCATTTTGGTAGTTGAACATTTTTAATAATTCTTTAACATTATTCCCATGCAGATCAATTGGTCGAGTCAATGGATCGCCAAAAAGGTGGGTATTCGAATGTTACTGCTACGGTTTCCAGCCTATATGCTCAATATGTGGGGCTTTTGTCAACTACCATTTCGGGAGGGCACTGGTCCCCAGACCGTTTGCTTAGCACTGGCTTTAATCGGGAGATAATTGAGTGGTGGACGTCTTGCTCTTGAGTCATGGAGCAACATGCATGGGGGACCGCACCCTTGATGATGACGGTTGGTTCTTCGAAGGGAGCAGTCAGAGGTCCAACCATAGATTTAGTTAAAGAGTTATCAACCCATCTAGTAATCATGGGTTAAAATGTATTGGCCCTGCTTGCGGTGGTATACACCTTGTAAAGCAAGCTGGCCGAGGTGTTGCACAAGCTAAAAGAGCTTTGTGAGCCGATCGATCTAGGCAGTTTCCTTCGTAAGGAAGACCAGATTGACCAAGTTAGGTTAGGTGGAGAGATAGTTCTCCTGCCGAGGTGTTGCACAAGCTAAAAGAGCTTTGTGAGTCGATCGATCTAGGCAGTTTCCTTCGCAAGGAAGACCAGATTGACCAAATTAGGTTAGGTGGAGAGATAGTTCTCCTAAGGTTGAATCAGTTATGTCCCGACTAAGGCCTTGGAGGACCCATTGATAAAAAAACATCATTCAAGACCTACAATGTCGTTCTTTGAAACTAAAACGATATTGGAAGAGATTTGAAAAAATGTTTGGTGTGACATTTATCATCCTTTCTCTGTGCTTCCAATCTTTCTTTTCCTTTCATCTTACGTTCATCTTTCATTCTTTGAAATGGTTCTAAAATATTCACATACCCACTTTAGCTCCATCAAGGGTGCCAATCCTTCATTTTTAACAAAGAATGAGGTGATGGAGTTGCAGAAGAAATATGTTCAACATGACATCATCGCTCTTCAGAAGTTGTCAGCATTGGCTCGAGCGATGAATGCGACAGACAGAGATCTGGTATTCTTTCGAAACTAGCTCAAATATGGCCTTCGACTGCCTTTATGTGACAAGCTCCTGAGTGTCTTCAACATGTACGAAGTTATTCCGGATCAAGTACTGCCGAACTCTGTAGGCGCTATAATGACCTTCATCCTTTATTGTCATTAGAAGCATATCTAGTGGTTAATCGACCTATTTAGGCATTTTTTTCTTATTTATGGTTAAAAAGGAGGGTTTTTCCATGTTTTGAGCGAGTAAGGTACACCTATTGGGAGTGGAAAATAAATTAAGGGATTATAAAAAAAAGCTTCTTATCGACTCTTGCATTGGTGCTTGGTGGTGCACCGACCAAAGTCTCTTCCAGAGAGTATGGATATCGATATGATGATGCTGACCGATCTCCACTTATCAGTCCCCTAGTACACTGCCCAGGCAACAGTTACCAGTTTGTTGATGGGCAATATGACAGAGGAATAATGGCATCTCTCAGACATCGAGGAGGCAGTCCGAGCAAAGGCGATAGAGGAAAATCTAACAGTCAAGCAAAAGAAGCAGAGTTAGCTCTCGGGTTCTGGTAATTCAAAAAGAAGCAATGATCCACTCTTGTATAGTGTGGTTTCAAGATACCTTATCTCCATGTCTAAAGCTAGTGTTGTCATTCAAGATAAAGAGACGGGCTAGGTCACTATTATTCCTCAAAAACATCCTTCTCATTTTTTTGATGTAGATGAATGTGATAGAGGAGCATCTACTTTAGAGGGCGTTCTGGATGAAACCACAATTGCAGCTCCCTCTTCTTCAAAAGTTGTCGTGTCATCACCAACCATTGCTCCACCGGATTCGCAGGTCGTTGTTGCCTTATCCACAAGAGCTGAAGCTAGTAAGGCTACCTCGACTAAGTCATCCAATCACATATCAAAAGAATCAATCTTGTCTTCCATTGAAGAAATCTCGCCTTATTCTTAGACAAAAGGGATCCATCGAAAAGTGAAGGAACGAACAGACGAGGTAGATGTCCCGCTCCCTCTTCTTTTGAAAAGATCTAGGAAGGCCTTTATGTGGGAGCCTATGCGCTTAGGTGTCAGGAGGACGTGGCTCGACATCAATAAGTAAATTAGTCTACTCAATCGTTCTTTAGACCAGTACTTACAGACGGGTTAGAACAGAAGCATCCCTCCAACTTAGTTGAACTTACTATGGTCTGAGGAACTTGGTTGTACCCTTAGGAGCTTTAGTCATCGGGAAATCCTTCATAATGTAGACCTATGGCAGTTGATGATGGCAGAAAGTGCCCAATTTATAGGGTTGGCTGTGATTGAATTTTTGGGATTGCTGGACAGGGCATGGAAAAATGAGACTTTATTAGGAGGCGGACATTAAAAGGACTCACAACAACCAAGACCTATTGAAGATGAAGCTTGACAATTTGAAGAAGTTGAACCGGGAATTTGTTGGTACTATTACGGTCTTGGAGAAGGAGATTGTCAGGCTAAGGGAGAAGATTGCTTTGTCGGTCTCCAAGGAAAAGCATGAGGATGGCCAAGCGTACCACATTAAACTCTGGGTGGATTTTGTCATCTAAAAATTTGTCCATCACGGCTTGGTTGTCCCCAAATTCTTTGATTCGAAAGAGTTCTCTGCTCTAACCCAAGATAATTCGACAAAATGTTTTGAAGATTAGGAGGATTCAAGCAGTGAAGAAGTGTTGACCACCAATTAGGGTCATGTAAAGTGGAAATTTTATCTACACCCCACCCCCCGCCCCCAACCCATTTTTTTTGGGAAAGAAGATGTTTGTACTTTCTTTTAAATGAGAAAAACTAGCTAGTTTATGCTTCTTCCTTTTCCGTCGACTGTGTTTTGACTATAAGTGTTTACCTCTATAGGGAGCTTCAAGAACTCAGGTAGTATAAACCCTACCTAATTGTTTAAATTAAATAGAGTAATTTGTCGGTCAACAAAAAATAATTTTTCGCACACTAAAACGGATGTCATAAATTCTTTATTTTATTTAATTAAGCACCACTGGCAAGAAGTGTATTTATCCTTCAAGCTAGATATATTGCTTGCGGTGTTGTGCTCGATCATTTAAACTATTGCGGGCTTGCGGTGTTGTGCTCGATTATTTAAACTATTGCGAGAAATGAGATCGGTTCGGTCTTGTATTTTCAAATTTGAAATATTACTTTTTTTCTAAATTTCTAAATTATATATATATATATATATATATATGTATG